GCTGTGCGAGAACGGTTTCGCGCTACGTTAGCGTTTTTCCACGCGTTTTGTTCGCCGCACGTATTTACGATCGATTAACGGTCCACGGCTAATAGTTTATTCCAACCAGCGACATATTTACGATCCCCACAGAGATTGTCCCTTTTTTCTGTCTCTCTCTTTTTCTCACTTCTTCCTCCTTCTTTTCCTTCGTTCATTAGACACGGATAAGCAGGAGAGCCGTGAGAGTAACCGGTACCAGGACTATGAGTCAGACATTCTTGAATTATGTATCTGGATTAGCTGATGGCTTGTTTAATGTTTACAAGCTGACACATTCTAGTTAGAATGTTCACGTGCATGACTTGCTCGTACGTTGACATTCGTGCCATGCACAATCACGGCCCGGATCGAACAATATTTGATCTTCGCCAATCTATTGTCAATAACACTCTCTCCCTCCTAATGATTCTGCGTCTATCTCTGTGGCTACAACTATCGGTTAATAAAATTAAGTGTGTGCAGAGCTTCGCTTTTGACGGAACAGTGGTAATGTTTGCCACTGTGTAAACGTGAACGTTGACTGATCAGTGAACGTTGACAAAACTTACATTTTGTAACACTTTAACTTTCCAAAAATTGGAGAAAGAAGCCGCAAGTCACATTTATATCTCCCGAAAAAATTGAAACTTTTCATTTACTAGTTACCTATGAAAATAATTCCCAAACTTCGCCTATTTATAAACGCCTCAAAGTGGTGAAAACCCCTTAAGTATCATTTTCTGAAGAAACACAACGCGTCTAAAAAACTAATAAATATTGTTATATCTGGAATATTAATTTCGGCTATTTGAAGAAATATGAAAACTAACGAGACATAAAAAAAGTTCGTATAATTTGTTTCAAGCTCAATTCAAATCCTTTATCAGATCCCGCACTGATAACTATTAACAGCAATGCCTGTTATTTTACATAATTGAATTATTCGAGAGTAATTGGGGTAATTTAATCGTTGCTCGTTACATATAGTTACATATAGAAAATAACGCAATTGATTATTAATAAATCGAACACAGAACAGCGGCAACAACAACGTTCTCTGTATGATGTAAATTCGGACTGTACAATGTACGTTCCGCGAGTTCGTTGGAAACAAACAATACAGCGATTTGGAACGATTTTCGCGTAACTGGGTTTACGTAAATCCTCGCCGGCGAACTTTCGATTACTCAGACATCCAGCGTGCAGCATGTAATTAATTTACTCCCATTGCCGGCGAATCACGTTAAGCCTCTTTTCTGCAAACCGTAGCGTGTTAAAAACGTGGAAAGAAGGAAAAAAGAACCGTGCTCTATGCACCGTTAAACGTTCATTACGTTCGCGTTTCTTCTGGCCCTCCTGGTACGTTTTCCTTTCTTGATCGCGTGCAACTGAAGAAACGAAAAAAAAAGAAACGGAAGAAAAAACCGCGCAAAGTTTCGTCGCAATTTTGAAACTTCGCAAGGCTTGAAAACTTTCTCGTTAACGGTGTGTACAACGTATGTATATACCAACGTTACAAACCAAATATTTGTCATCGTTATAAATACATCTCTCTTTGCTATATTTGGCGAAACTCCGCGTCCACCAATAATTAGCTATTGCAAAATCTTATGAAGCAGAAGGACGCGAAACGCTGCGAGAAGGTAAAACAGAAGAAAAAGAAAAAGGAATTCGTTTCTTTACGACGGAGGAGATTTAAAATTGGGTAGGAATCCTTCGAGGACAACGTCAAGGACGATTCTTTCGAAGTTAGAAAAAATGTCGAAGAAGTATCGGGGAAGAAAAGGAAATTGTGCCTCTTTATGTGGATGTTACATTTGGTGTTAGCGTGGAAGAGGAAAGGTTGACAGAAATTGAAGATAAAGGAAGGAAAGGGAGAAAAATGAAGAAGCTGGAAAATAATGAAAATCAGGATGAAAAAGGAGTTAATGTTCACGTGCACAGTGGACGGTGCGGTGTCTGAAGCCTTCGAACTTCTTGGAATTCCTCGATCCTCGAGGATAATAAAATGACTTCAAACAAGATAAAGATACAATGTTAATTCCTCCGGGAATTATACGGTTCCCATAAGAAACGCCCATTTTCGTCTCGTTATAACCTCGGGAACTCTAAACCAACGATGTAACACGTATATATGCACGTACACTTCCGTTCATAAGTATTAGGACATCTAGTGTGTTCTTGTAGAAAGTATTATATGATTTGAAATTACATTTCCTCGTCGAACTTAATGTCGCGTATCGGTAAAAATGAATTATGTCATTTGTACTTCGTGACTCTAGAATGGATCATTTTTTTTTAAGGTCTTGATCATTTTTTAACGACTCTTGCGTGTTGAACAGTTTTACATTAAACTTGCAATTTCAGTAGATTGTAGCAAAATTCAGACGATTTCTGCAGATTTACTTAGGTTTCGGAAGATTTCAATGGACATTAGTAGAATACCAGCAGAGTTCACTAGATCGCAATCGATATCGCTAAACTTCGATAGATTCCGATACATTTCAGTACACTTCACACACACACAGAAACTTTCCCAATACTTATGAACGAGACTGTACACACACGCGCGTGTGTGTTTAACACCGTGAAACGAAACGTCTAAAAAAAAAAGAAACCAACACACTCGCGAGATGTTCAAACAACATGGGGATTTTTACCTGGCGGAATGTCGTCCGGAGTCGACGTCCAGGACGATGGCAGGCATCGTTTAACACCACTATTAAGATTTATTTTGCGAATTGGCCAGCGAGTCGCCCGAGGCCCTCCACGTACGAATCTAAAACCTTGCCTCTCTTGTATATACATACACATATACGTCGGGTTTGTGCACGCTCGTTCGTTCGTTCCACCAGCTCTCCCGACCTGATCCTTCAGGCCCTCAGGGCAGATCGTATTCAAGTGCTCCGCGTGGCTAAATTTAGCAGCAGGATAATTTACCGGATTCTGTTGAACGGCTCTTTTACGAGTGTGCGCTCGCTCTACAGTCCGGACATGCTCACCATGGGGACTTCCGCAATCTTTTTCAAAATTATCGACCTTCGTGACCGTGCCCCGGTAGGTACTCGAGAAAAATCCACCCTCCATGGCTCGTTCGCGTTTATCGTTTGCACGTATCGTTCGTTCGTTCAGCGGCGGCGGGGTCGGATCTCGAAATTTTCTTTCGTTGAAAAAAGCCGTGAAAAAAACTTGAACCGGTTTTTCGCCAGGATATAACGAACGCAGCCAGCCTTCGTCATGAAACGAAGTACCTACCAGTACACGCACGACTATACGTGTGTGTTTTGTGCGTGTGTGTACGTGTGTGTGTGTGTAGACGTTGTAGGACGTGTGTGGCACCACCTCGGAGGGAATTTTCAAGGAGAAATTATTTCGCGATCAGGAATGAACGTACGCGAGTACGTACGCCACCATTCTATTGGTCGCGTCGTCTTGTACATGTTCATTGTTCGTGGCGAGGCGCCGTTGTTAAAGGATGCTGGGAGGTAGACTTGCGAACGTTGCTTTGTTCAACTCGTTAAATTGCTCTTTCGGTCAACAGGTTTTGAATCTTGAAAGACGAGCGCGTGTCGGTATGAGAATGTAAAGTTTATTGGTCATTAATGTTGGTTTATTTTATTGCCGCGAAGATTCACGCTCTTACGGTTGAAAAGCTGGAGGGGTGCCTTGATAATGGAACTTGTTGATTAGAAAAGAATCTCTCTTTTGTTTTGTTTTTTAATCGTACTCCCTACAGCTCTCCGATGACGGAGCAGAAAATTTAATTCCACCCTCGGTGTTTTGCTTTTGTATCTATTTATTATTATTATCATCATCGTAGAGTTTGTTGGAGAGTAACGCCAAGTAGCTATAAATGCCTGGGGAAAAGTGAAGAAAAAGTAGATATACGGAGTTAATTCTAGAAGCGGGAGAATTCGCTGGGAAACAGGAAATGCTTGTACACTTATTCAAGTTTGACGGATTCCTTTTGCATATCTCGGTATTTCGATCTCGATGAATATTTTCTAACTGGTTGTTAATCAATCTACGGTCGTTCTACTTCAACGATTCCTGTCAACATTTCACAATACGCATATTTCGAGTCACGGGTGTATCAAAGCTCCAATGACAGGCTTTAATGTCACAGTCGTTCGAGACTGCTTATTTAGCATAGAAAACATGTTGCAGAACATGTATTAGAATAAACGTGTCTCGTGCAATTACCCTGCAACAATATATTTAGACTTCTCTCCTCGATAGAACGAAAAAGAAACGAACGGTAGAAATTATATTTTGTAAAAGTTCAATTTCTCTCCTCGATAGAAGGAGTTACCATTATTGGACGCTTCGATGAATTCTTGTAGAAAGATGCATTGCGAAGCTTAGATTTGACGAAAAGTTGAACAGCATACGTTGTAAAATTTTTGAAACGTTCCGAGGTGTTTTCTGCGACCACGGGATGCTAAAGATGAACCTACTGAACGTGTTTGACGCGTAATAGTCGGCCAGGTTAGACGTAATCTCGAGAGGCGCCATTTACTTGCTTCAATTTCCTGGACTAAGTCTGCTCAAAAATTAAACTGCGAAACGACGTCGCGGTACACATTCGCGACGTGGATATTACAGCAAACATTTCAGCAATTATCCTGCATTTAAGGCTACAATTACGGTAAAACCACGTAATTTACAGTCGATCATTTTTTACGAAATAATTCGTGCAGACCATACCAAATATACTTTATTTCGTTCATTTCGTCTTCTATCTTACTTCGGGATAATTCGAAGCTTTCACAATATAGAGAAATGTACCAATCATCGCCATTTTATTGACAGAGTATCATCAATAGTCTACTTGGTTATTTTTAGTGAGAAATCAGATTATTGGTTATTGTTCGTCTAATGAAACGATCGATAATTCAAGTTTATCGAAATAATGGATTCCAAGTTGGTCGAGAAGAAACAATGATAATCCTTTTTTTCCTTCTTTTTTCGTGTTCCAGGTACGGTGAAAAGCAACGACGAGTCGATAGTCAAGAGCTCAGTGGTATACAATTGCTCTCCGCAACTGCTTATCAACTGAAGAAACCCTATCAACAGCTGCTCATACCGATCACAGTATGGATCGGCATGGAACAGGCGTTCATTGGAGCAGACTTTACACAAGTGAGTGATTAAGATATCTAACAAATTGTTTAGCGCGAAAATAATCAAATATTTACAAGGTTGAACGAGCGTAATCTTTAAACAATGAAACATCGTTCTCTCTCTCTCTCTCTCTCTCCTCGATACAAGCCACGAAATCTCACTTTTTTTCTCTTCTCTTTCTCTTCTTTCGCGAAGTTCTAACCCGCCGAAAAGTTTCAGTCAATTAAGAAGTTTCCAGAAGTTCGACGATACATTATCGTCCGGCGTGTTGCTCAACAACTGGAAACAATCATTTACGACTTACGAGGCAGAACAATGAGATTCGAATAACTCGCCCACGGTCCGAGCAAAATGAACGAGCTTGTTGTCGGTAGGAACTTGGTTCGATAAGGCATCGATTACGAACGGAGACGATTATGCCATTCGAGAACGAAACCTTCTGCCAGAGGAACTGACGAAACGATCTCTCTTCTTGTAAAATGTGACGGACGATTTGAGAGTATAATAACATTTGGTTACAATGGAAACTCGCAGAGGTAGGAAATTATCCTTGCATATGTATATCGCAACGAATCACTTTATTCCTTTTTGCATTGGAAACCTCGACGTTAAACTTACTGTTTTCTTTAATTCGCTCACGGACACGTATTTCCACTGGTCCGAGGAAACCGTATTGTCACAACAAGAGTATGAAAATTTAACGGGGAAATAATTATCGACTTTCCTCGTTCGTACGTTTGACAAATAAACGTGACCGCGTCACACCGCGAACCGACGCAAAGGAGAAAGAAGAAGAAGAAGAACAAAATAGAAGAACGCAGTTACCAAAGAGGCAAGCTAAAATCGTTAATGATTATCCTCATCAGATGCAACACAAAAAAAAAACCGACTAGGATCACCCGGATACAAACCGGATACAGAGCGGCAGGTTCATGATGCGTAACGGCCATGCGAGGTCGTGCAATTGTTCTCCGGAAATACATGCTACTGATCACAGATATGCTGAAATATCGACTGAAGCACGCATCCTTTGCCTTTTAAAACAGCTGAATGACTTTAAATTATAAGTTGTATAATGTGCAATTGGTGAACTAGAAAGTGACAAAGGATAAAGAGAAAAGAGAGAGAAAGATGATGTTGGGTTGTTGCAGATGAAACGACCGAAATGATCGACGAAACATTCCACGTTTGTAGTTTCAGTAAAAATGATATTCGATTGATCAGCGCATGATCCACTGGTTTCGTTATTCTTTGACCATCCGAAAAGAAAATTATTTATGCCTTTCGTTTTGAAAGAACACTCTTCGCTTCGAGGTGCAAGGAGGTCTTTGGAAACGTTCTTTAATTCAGCTTCGTTGTTAAATTTTTTAAAAAGTGGCCAGTGATATTTCATCTTCATTCGTGGTTCACTCTCGTGCACAATTTGCCATTTAATTTTAACCTTAGCGCATTCTTCCACTAGACGCTAAAGGAGTTTGGGTCAAAAAAGACCCAAAGACCTTATGTGGAACAATTTTTATCACCGACATGCCATATGAACTTAAACGATAAACTTTTAACGTAACGTTAAGGGAACATAAATTTGATAACAACAAAAGTTATTAAAAAAAATAAGAAGACGATGGGTAGAAAAAGACCCGAAGACTAGGGTTAGGTTAGGTTAGGTGGTTAGTCGATTGTTTCACTGTTGATTGACTTCGGTTAACTTTGAGCTTTGCTTCGGTTTGGTTTTGGTTAACTTAAAGATTGAAATTAACGTCTAATAAGCGTTATCTGATAGCAAATTTCAGAACGCAATTCTGAAAATCTTACGCAGTTGCGACATCGGTCGTTTCATATGTGCAACAACCTAATACAATTTTGAAAGCAAACTTGTTCGAAACCAGTCCGATGACAAAATATGCGAGCAAATTTGCCGAGGAATAAAGTAATTGGACGAATAAATGCTACCAAGAGGCATCAGGATCCCGGGACGCTACCTTCCATTGAATCAGCTGGTTCGACATGTTATAAATAGCCTAGAATCTTATTCTTGCAGCAATTCCCTGATACCACTTCCATACCTGGAATCCTGTGAACCAGTATTTCTTCTTTTTTTTCTCGTGCTACTCGTGCATCCACGAGTGCAGCCGATAGGCCTGTGCGGCGAACACGCACACGCGTCGCTAAATGAAAACGCATAGGCACATCGGGCGCATCCTCGCCGTCCTCCATTGCGGTCTCGCTGAAATTTCTCCGGTTTCGACAGCGTCACTTTTCTTACTCGTGTTACGTCGATTATCCGGCGTGTTCTACACGTTCTACAGTCGTGAAAATGCATTAAAATTACTTCGCTTACGCACGTTTGTACCACGGTGGTAACATAAAATACCGCCTTAAGGACACAGGTGTGAAGGAGAAGAAAAAGGATGGATTTCGTTGCTAATTATCGAGACAGAGAACAAGCGAATCCCTCGATAACTGGAAATTCCCAACGAAATTCAACATTAATCCCACTACCTTCGAATCGGGTTCCTTCTTTACGGACACCCTGTATACAGGATAAGATCGCTTACATCGAAGTCGTAAAACGCGCGGCTACTGAACATCATCAAACCGGGCGCGTTTTATTAAAATTCTTTTTGCTAACTGCATTCCATCAACCGGCGAAAATGATGGAATATCATCCTTGCTACTTGTTTATATATGCATCTGGGATTGTTTAATCGTCGCTGATGTTTCTCTAATTTTTCTTCCCTCAGGCGTACATTTCCTGCGCGTTAGGCGTGCACAGAGTGGGCTATGTGATGATCTGCTTCGGAGTGGTGAACGCTCTTTGCTCCTTGGTCTTCGGATCGTTAATGAAATTCGTCGGGAGACAGCCACTTATGGTGCTGGGCGCCATCGTCCATGTTTGTCTTGTCGTCGTGCTACTCCACTGGAAACCAAACCCCGAGAACCCCTACGTTTTTTACACCGTTTCTGGACTGTGGGGTGTCGGTGACGCGGTTTGGCAGACGCAAGTAAATGGTACGTATAGCGAAAGGATGTTTGAATTGAACAAATTATAATCTCGCGAAATACTATCGTTTTATGTGGTTTGTTATCGGTAGTGTCTTACACGCACATTGTTCATTTATTTTTTCCTCGAGGTTTGCTTTACTTAGTTGCGATTGATAATTGATGTAAACTTTTGATCGTGTTTAGTAAGGAATTATTCAATTTTACGCCAGTTTCCAAATATGAGAATTTATTTCTTCATCTTCGAGTTTAGTCGCGAGAATTTAACGACGAATAATAAGCAAAATGTTTTTAGAACGACATGTTTTAATGTATACAGGGTGGGTCAGGTAAAACAGGCCACCTAACTATCTTTTCTACCTACGGCGGCGTGAGAAAAGTTTTTCTATGAAATTTAAATGGTTTCAAAGAGCTTTTCTGTTCTTTTCTTTTTCAAGGGCACATTTTTTTTATACGAATGTATATATTGTTTTCTACTGTGTGTTGTAGCAGACATCGATGTGCATTTAAACATGCGTGATAATATGGCCTTAAAATGATCTTGGATTCTAAAATTTTTAATCAAATGTAAAACTTCCTTTCAATTTTGCCGTTTCTTTCATAAAAAAAAATTTTCTCGTACCATCATAGCTAGAGAAGGTGGTCTTTTTTACATGGCTCACCCTGTATAGCAGGTTAATAAGTTATGAAAAGGAGATTTCAAAGTTCTTTACTAAATGCACGGTTAATTTAGCAATTGCAGAAATTTATTTTACTTCAACCTTTTCTTCGACAATTTTAAATATATTGGAACGAAACAGCATTGCTACGCGTAAATAATTTTTTTCAATTTAAATTCTCAAATATTTTATTCTTTCACGAAAAATTTTCCTAAGAGAAAATTATAAGGCTGCAAGCCGTTTTACCACGATTAAGAGAATCCACGCGATAGATAGATAGATAGAATCCACGGCCTAGCCGAATATCTTATCTTGGATCTTGGTGCATATCATTCGATAGACCACCCGAAGAAAACCCTTTCTACCAAGTATCAAGCTGCTACCCTACTACTAGGGTAGTTACAGGGTGAAACGCAGTTTACAGATTAAGCTCCATTTCTCTCGTTCTGCTCGATGAAAACTTATGAAAAAAATCACGGATGTGCTATCCAATGGCGTACATGTCTGTGATTTTTTTCAGAATTGTTCACCGCAAAATCGATTTTTAAAAAATTCGGAAAGTTTATAAATGTTGTTTTCGTATTGAAATTATCAAACGACCACGTTTATATTTTTACAGTATTAGTGTCTTGTTATGGATATTAATGTGTAATTTTGTGACTTCGTCCTGAAACATGAACTTCGTCTTCAATTTCCAATTGCACCTTCCTCCAAGTCTCGTTTGGAAAAAAAATGGTCTTTAACGGGTCACATGTGAAATGAGTATCCGGAACAATGAAGTACAAGTAGCAAGAATAATGACGTATAGTAAGAAAGCTAACTGTCCATCTGAAAATGGACAGCTTATAGTGCTTGCTCCCTTGTATGACAATTAGCCGGGAGCTCTTCGACATACAGCCCTTTTCTTCCTCGAATAACGTCCCGAGATATTCATTATTTAACTGTTCGAACTCACTTAGACACGTGTTGGAAGAAGAAGAAAAACAAGGAACTTTATGGCGTGCAAGACAATCGACGATTGTACGAATGACTGACCGTACATGCATATTTATGTGGGATTTTGAGCAGAATATTCAATTCATCCCGCTGCTTATTAGATCCTTTTATTTTGCAACCGAATGTATTACCACGATCGTAATCAGATTTAATCTTCCGTTAACAGGATGAAACATTTCTTAAAGAACTTATGAAAAGAAATCGAATTACGATTGAAAGATACAACAAATAAAATATAATCTCTTTTTTTCTTTCGAACGAAGAATTATCGAGATATTGTGTTAGCTTACAGAACTCATTTTCATTTTCCGATGGTAAAATGTTCGAGTAGTAAAGCGACTTATGGGTCACAGTGTATTAGGAATGAAACAAACCAATTCGTTTGTAAATTTCACTGATCGTAACAAAGAATTCGGAAAAAATTGTAATCTTAATAATTTTCTATTGTTCGATTAATTTTTAAATGGCAAAGCGACTTATGTTCTACGCTGTATTAAAAAAGAGCAAACCAATCGTAAATTCCACTGATGGTAAGGAAGAATTCTGTGAAATTATAATCTTAATAATTTTCTGTTATTCAATTAATAGAAATTCTATTATTCGATTAATTTTTAAACGGCAAAGCGACTTATATTCTACGCTATATTAACCCTTTGCCGTATAAAAACGAGTTAGACTCGTGCCACAGATTTTGGCCAAGATCTGATAAAAACAGTTACATGAATAAGAAAAATTAATTTCAATTCCACTTCTCCGTTTCATTTATTAAACTGACGATTGCAAAATTTCATTAATCTACGATACATCAGCTTTTCTTACCTAATATTGCACTGAAACGGTAAATAGCCGACGCTTACATGCGTAGGCACGAAAAGAAATCATACGTAAAGGGGCTAAAAAAGAGCGAACCAATCGTAAATTCCACCGATAGTAACAACCTGAAAAGCTGATTGCTCCGTTTGAATTTCCAGGTCTGTACGGTACCCTATTCAGGCGTAACAAGGAAGCCGCGTTCTCGAACTACAGACTGTGGGAGAGTGCCGGTTTCGTAATAGCGTACGCGTACAGTACCCATCTGTGCGCCCGTATGAAGCTGTACGTGATGCTAACAGTGCTGCTTATCGGCACTTGCGGATACATCGTGGTCGAGCTGTTGCACAGGCGTAAGCAGAAAAGGCTCAAGGCTATCGCGGATGATCCAAAGGCAGCCCAGGCAGAGGCGAACCAGGTGGAAGAGACCGACGATGAAAAGGACGATATTGACGACGATATCATTATCACACACCTCTGAACAACACATGCTTGCGAACCAACGAGGAATCTCAACAGAGTCTCGGCTCGATCGACTATTCTCTTTTATTCTTCCTTATTGCACTTTCCTATAATCACGAGCTCGGTTTAACTTTCCACGGCCAGCGACGATACGACGATCGTATATACGAATCGTCGACGAGCGATCGAAAACTGCCTGGAAGTGTGCGCCAAGAAATATGTTGCTCGCTTATAGGAAACGTAAGAACGATATTCGTCGTTTCTTACATCTTCATTTTTTATTTCTACCTTTGTCTCCTTTTTTTTTTCGTTTTGTGGAAGAATATAGAGCGGATATTGATACGATCGGCGATACGATCAGAACGTGAAGCATATATATATATATATATGTGTGTATATATATATACATACATATATACATACACACACACATATATATTATTCTCGTGTCGGTGAAACATGCGTAAAAATTGTTATTCATTCATGCTGAGACTAATATCGTCGGCTACCATCATCGCAAGATTCGTAAGAATCGTTATGCTTTTCCAACATTTTCTCCTAAGTCTCCTCCGGTTGTTTTTCATATTTTGCAAATATCACACTCGACATTTCTTTAATTTTTCGTCGCTCCGACACGTTGGACCACCGACGTTTCTCACACCCTTCTTGTGCATCGGGGAAAGCAGAGAGAGAGAGAGAGAGAGAGAAATGTCGCGATCGCTGCGTTGTTCCGTTGGAAACGACCACGAGAGAATGGGTGAAAGAATAAGCGAAAAAGAAACCGACTCATGCAAAATTAATGAAGGATAAGAAAATGCGCGGGGATGTCTCGGCTATACTCGTGCGCGTGTGTTATCGCTCTCGGAGACTGGACTCGACTCGACACCACGACGACGACGACGACGACGACTCTCCATTGTCAACTGAAAAAAAATGAAAAACGAATTGCTTGCCTACACGGTGCTAGAAGCGCGTTCCGATGCCATACTCGTCCTTATGCGTTCACATAGTCCCTTCTATCTTCGCTTAAGTGTAAGTTTAACGAGTCAAAACGAGGAAACCACGGGAAAAGAAAAATGAGAGGAAGAAAGACAAATTCGATTTTTTTGTTTTCAAGCAGTACAAAAGAAGAATGACAAAAAATGAAAGAAAGAATTGCGTCTGACGAACACATTACAACCGTTTCGTTGAACGTACTTGAAACGATTCGCGAGTATTTGTAATATCGTGTATATCTGTAAGATGTAGGAAATCTCCCCCCATTGCCACTATGTGGAAGCGCTTCGTAGCAACTTGCCATTAAGTTTTATCGGAATTGTGTCCCAGTTTTGTGATAAAGATCGGAAGTTCCAAATGAACGGTTCGATCGTGAATCCACTTATCTTGTATATATATTATGGATAGCAATTGTATATGCGGTGAAATGGATAATTCCATTCGAATGCGCTGTTCCGGCTCGACGAAGCCGGAGCTTTTAATCTGTAACAGGCAGACTTCGTGTCTTTATTATTCTTTTTGTTTTTTTTTTTCATGACTACAGATGCACTTAGATCGAAGTTACGACTTGACCGATCTTGTTGCGAAGTTCCAAGAAGAAAAGAAAGAATTGGAACGAATTGTGAAATTCTAGTTTGCTATTTTATTGCGACAAAGAAGTGACGGATTTGTTGCGGAAATTTGAAGATTTCCGATGGAATTTAGTAGGACGACAGAATACATTACGCTTCCTTTTTTCCTCGTCAAGTTGAAAGCATGCTAGGTCCGTCGTAAAAGTAAAAAAAAAAAAGCAGGCCGGGATTGTGCATCTGCATTCGATCGATGAACCGAAAGAAAAGAAATCCGCGAATAGACCACTTGAAGAACATTTCACGTATTACCATCAGCCAAGGGAAAGAATAGAATGAGAGCGTAGATTGTACAATTGTTCGATGCATTTCTCGCGTGCACCTCGAAATGCTCCTAATGATGATCACTCTAATCGAAAGAAAAAAGTATCACCTTCTAACGAAACGTAGAAATGAGATCGTAATTAAGCATGTGATCTTAATTACGTTAGAAAGGGTATCGAAATATTACGATGTGTTAGTAGTAGAGATAAGGAACATTGTAGTCGATAATTTAACGATAAGTATGAAACAAAATTAATTTTATAGATCACCCATTTGTTTCTTAGATTTAAAAAACAAAAAAAAGATAACGGAAAGGAAAAGAAGTGAAAAAAAAAAAGCGAAAGCAGAGGAAACGTATCATTACGTTTGCCTTCCTTTCGGCGGAAAATTCATGATCAGATTGTGTTTTTATGAGAGATATACCAAGGCACGAAGACAACGTTGTCCTTCATATAGAATAATCCTCAAAAAAAGGAGAAAAGAAAAAAAAAGAAAAAGGATATCTGTTTTATCCCGGATATAATGTTGAATCAGTATTTGTTACCCGAATCGAATTGTATTATGCGTTAGTTTTAACCATTGTTCAATGATTACGTATGATGAACATACTGACCTACTGTGTATTGTAATAGCGTCTCTCTCGACAGTATGTATTCCGTCCACCAATTATGTTGCCATTTCGATGGAATTGGAAACGTGTATTGTACAATTAAATAAAGCAATCGACATAATCGATCAGCACCTCCGGTAAAGAGAAAAAAAAAGAAAGATCAGCGTCGCTCGAACAAAATTTCGTGAAATATTTGTCTTCCATCGAATGGCGGAAACTTGTATTGTTAACTTTCTCTTTTTTTTTCTCGTAATAGTTTAATAGATAGTAGAGGAACGGACCAGAGACACGTATTTCTTAATGCCGTAACGGAACATTTGTACAAAAGGAGGATGAATATTTGCGGAAAGTATTAAGACAATACTCTATACAGTTGTATAAAAAAAATGAGAAAAACGTTCACGTGCATCATGTTGTTTTCCCTTTCGATAAGTCGAAAGCAATATTTCATTACAGATTTGTAACAGACTTTTAACGTTTCTTGTTATTTCACTACCTATGATATATTTTATCTAATGAGATAGATCGACTCGAACCTTTAATTAACTATTATATACAGAGTGTCTCGGAGAAAGGATATATTCTTTCTGAGTGATTGTTTCAATGCTTGGAATAAACAAAAACTTGGATAGAATGTAAGTATACATTACACAGTATATATTACTTGATAAATCACTGTTTATTTACAGCTTTATATTTCTTAGGTAGGTTAATTAGCCACTTGAGCAAGTAAACTTAATATATAATCAACTACTTAACAATATACTCGTAGTCCGTTCAATTCAGCTACGAGTTAAATTTATACTTAATAATATACTATAAATTTTCACTTAAACTTCTACAACTAATAATTATCCAGAAACATTTTTATCAATAGAAAACAACTTCTAAACGTATCATTTCGTT